CTTAGTTTTATTTTGAAGAATTCAATGCCTTTTAAGACTTTTTAAGGACCCGCAGGAACCCTGTTAAAATATATTTTTGGTAAAAAAAAAACTAAAAAATTAAACTTATATAGTATAATTTTATTATAAAAGGTAAACAATGCCTTATAGAAGTTTGGTTTGCAAAAATCAGACACTAACTGAAACTTTCATGATTGGAAGCAGAATTACCTGCACTGCTCTGTATGTGGTAATGAAAGGCAGCATAATGTGATAGCCCGGGCCATTGGGAGAGGTCAGTAACGCGCCACCTCTGAAACAAATGTAAGCAAATGGTTTGGTCAGAGTGAACAACATACATGGACACCACAGAAAATAAAAGAGACATTCACTCACACAATAAAAAAGCATCTGGGATTTGGACTTTGAAGTTTGTTCTTATTTTCTATATGATTCAACCCTCAGCAGACTTCGAAACAATCAGTTTGTGATCCCTAATAACTCCCAAATAAGCTGGCTAAAAACTCTAAGTCGGATCCTTTTTTTTTCTTCTTTTTAAAAATCAGTAAAAATGCCTTAAGTATGGCCAATACCAACAATATATTTACAGTGCATAGATGTTATCTAGTACAAAAAAAAGAGGCTAGGGTTACTTTAAGTATCAGATAGTTTTTTAAAAACAAAGTGTAGCAACACATAAAATATTTTTTTTTACATTTCATATTGGTTGTTCCTTTAACATATAACAGCAAAGTTCAATCATTTGCAAAGCCATATCTGCTTCTAGCGTTCTGGTAATAATTTAAATAATAAATATTTAATACAGATAGGGAATGATGTTTAAATGATTGTGAGGGCCTTATAGAGGAAACAAATGCCAGTTGTTTAACCTTATCAATTTATCATTTATGAAATAAGAGCCAAATCTTAATAAACAGCTCTGTTATACTGACTGTTCTCTCTCTCACTCTCTCACTGAGTGACATTACCAATGCTCCTAATTTAAGTGACTCTCAAATACAAAATCTGATGAATCTTCTTAGCAATTACACTAAATAAATTATTCAATCATCAACAAAAAACAGGTAAAAACTTTTACTCTCATATATTCTAAATGACAAATTATTGGGGAGTGGTGGCCTAGTGGTTTGGGCATAGAGTTTGGGATCCTAAGGTTGTGAGTTTGAAACCCACTTGCACAGACTGCCAGTCTGGGTCCCTGAGCAAAGACCCTAAACCCCACACTGCTCCCCGGGCGCCGCAAATGACAGCCCACTGCTCCTCAAGGGGATGGGTTAAATGCAGAGAGTGAATTTCGTTGCGCTGTACTTGTGACAGTGTAATGACACTAAAATGCTGGAAAAAGAAAAAATCATGCATTCTGAATTATCTTATAAGGAGAAAGTTTTGTGACATGATGCACATAGGTAAATGGGAAAAACAGCATCACGTCATTGGCTTTGGAGGACATGCTCTTTCAGGATGTGCATTTAATGACAGAAGATATTCGCCTGATACTTTACTGCAATTCCTCACACAGAGCATGCATGCATGCACAGTGGAGAGGAAAAACTCCCTTGAACAGAAAGAAACCTCCAGTGGGACCAGGCTCAGTGTAAGTGGGCCGCTGATGAGGCCGACTGGGTGATCAATTAGACAAAGCAGACACGCATACATGTTTGTGATACCTGTAGTAAACAGCAAGGTGACCTTCCTCTATCTTGTGAATAGAGGAGTGCAAAAGGATGGCCATCACCCCGGCTACCGTTGCAAATACAGCCCCCACATGCGGCATCGTCATCCTTTCTTGCACTCACCTGCAAGCAAAGGAAGAAGCATAAACAAGCGGAGCTGTTTGTGCAACATAAAGTGTTCAAACAAAAACAGTAGTGGTTGAGCAACACAGACAGTGGCAGCTGAAAAACCTGCCACTTCCCATTTATTTAGTAAAGTGAAAACTAAACGTCCTGTTTGTAGACGTTTTGATGCCGTTTGTAAAATTAAAGAGACATTTACTGATCAACACATATCTCAATTAAACACAACTGAAATAGAAATAATAAAAATAAAATAGAAATAACTTACACAGAAAGTTTTATTTGCAAACATAGGCCAACAATTTAATTTAAACAGATATAAATACACCTAAAATAGTTTTTAAAATGGTATTGCAATTCACCCAGTAGATATAATTTATCCAATCTTTACATCAGGTACACTCAACTCTGCAGCACTTTCAAGATCTGAGTCTATGTAATGCTAAGCTAAAGCTAACACGAATGATTTGCTTTTAGGATTAATTTAAGACCAAAATTGATAAATACCTTTGAATTTACCGGGAAAACACGTTTCATCTATACCAATGCAGAAGCCAGAGTATCAACCACGGCAGTAATTAGACGCTGACCAAGCATTAGTTTGATCAGGCTAACCTAGCTAGCTAGCTTTCATTATCTGCTGTATTCTGAAGTCAGCAACTGTCAGTGCTTTGAGCTAACGCTAACTTTAGCATTAAGCTAACAAACTACTTTAACTTTCACGGCGCTCAAACATAATCATAATCATGCAAGCAGAGGAATAAACGACAGAGTGTTGACATAGATTTACCACAGTATCGAACCGTCTCCACCTCTGGTCTTATCTTTCAACAACCCATCCCCCTCGCACCGCCCCCTCCTCCTCCAGCTTGAGCATTCCGGTTCCTTCCTAAGATCCGAATCGTTGGGTACAGATCAGCTGAGCATTAGGGTTCCTTTCCAAGATCCGAATCGTTGGGTATAGATCAACGAATAGAAACGATTCTTTTCATATCAAACATTAAAACGTAAATTTGCGGTTCACGGTAGTCATAGTAAACTTTATTTTTATTATGCAACAATGTGCTCCAACAATAAGGTGTAATTGTTGCTTTGTGCTCAAAATAGTCCTCTTTTTCAATGGAGACAAAGAGATTTTAAGATGAACGGAAATAATTAAGAGATGATCAAATCAAATCAGTTTTTCTATCTCTGAATTTAAATTCTAAAAAAAAAAATAACCCGATAGGATTAGGTTTATTAGGATCAGGATCAGATTAATGACAAATTAGGTGATTAATGAGGATAATTTTGTCGTTGCTTCAATTATTCTTGGATGTAAAACCACTGCCCTGGTACAATGACTTATAACATATTCAGTATGTGTGTATAGTTTTAGCAACAATTTTAAAATCAGTTCACACTTTCTAATTCAGAATTATTCTCCATAAATTCTTTATACCCAAAAACTTAGGGCCTAACTTACCTGTAGACCTATTCCAGTCTGAAGCCCATTATTTAACCCATACATGTCCCATGTGTGAATGTTGACTGGGTTCCACTCTCTGCATCTGGATATACTGGGAAACTAAAACAATATATTTCATTTTACTCCACAAAGAGATGTAACATCATGCATAGTGGCCCCCGAAGGTTAACACATTTCAATAATTCTGGAATTTAAAAAAAGGGGGGGAAAAAAGGAATCCCTAAAAAAAAAACTGTATCTGATCCATAACATTTTATCTTTATCAGCTTTGGTTATGCAAATTAGTCAGAAAGAACATCTACCACCCTAAACACACACGTGTGGTAAGACGGTCAATTCAAGGCTTTAAACTCAATTTATTATCTTGACTACATTTAGATAAGCAACTTTTTCCCCATTTTGTCGAATTAGTATTACCACATTACACTCATTGCTCAATCCTGTTAATCCCCTTACAGCTCATCTGGTCACAGGTTTATGACTACCTTTTAAAATGGATCGGGTATGAACTCTTGGTGAATTGATTTCTACCTTTTTTGTGTTGGGTTCAAATAGACAGGTGTTAGCAGGGCCAGCCCAAAGCCCCCATAGCGTGCAAAGGAAACTTTGATTTCTCTATTTCTTCAGTATCGACCGCAAAGGCTGCATTAAAAACAACCTGTAGTGCAAGAGAAAAATAGCTTTGACAAATGAAAATACATGACTGGCGACCTGTCCAGGGTGTACCCCACCTCTCGCCTGTAGACAGCTGGAGATAGGCACCAGCAACCCTTGCGACCCCACTTGGGATTAAGCGTGTAAGAAAATGGATGGATGGATGAAATGAAAATACATTCAGTTATACATGGAAAAAGGCATGGCCCCAAGACTAATCCCTTTTTTATTTTTTCAAATATAAGTAATGATTTCTACATGGTTAAAAATATTTTGTGTTTTTGTTACTACTTGTATAAAAAAAAATCATAATATGTGCAAAAAAGAATAATAGTTAATAGTTCTCGGGGGCCTTATAGTTGCTCTTGGGCCCTAAGCAGTTTCTTTGTTGGCTTAGTGTCATCTATAGTGTGTTTTCCACCATACAAAGTATTACATATTAATTATTAGTAAATGTTTGTTTATCACTCTCCCAACCTTGCATTTTGAATTTTATTAAAGTTTTTCTGGTTTCTTTTTAGCATATAAAAAATGTTGCTGAAAATTTGCATTTGCAGAGAAAATAGACATGAGCAAAAATGAAGCAAACCAGGGCCAATTATTGTTTTCATCATTTATAACATTTGCTTTACATCCCATAGTGCACGATTTTATGAGCAACAGTGTTTTACTCAATATCTGAAAAATAAATATGTACTAGCTACAGTTTAAATGTAAATTTTTCATATTTCATATATTATTGTCTTATAGCATTCTTGTAAATAATATAATTCAAAAACTGAAATATGTCAGAAAGTTTGGCTCTAAAAAAGGCACCTATCGTATTGTACGTTCTTTAAAAGCTCTTTAGAATCAATGAGAATCAACTTTGTTGGCTCCAAACTGAATCCAGCTCCAGTCTTGATCCTGTAGAGGTAAAAAACAAAAAAGAAAGAAAAGAAAAAGAAAACAGTTAAGCAGCATCACCAGTGACCATTTTACAAAACTAACATTATTTATCAATTCAGAATGCATTTTTGTGGAATTTTAAACAGAAATTAATTTACTGTTTTGAAAGATACATGTTTAATTGTGCTGTGAACTAAAGTCTTAAAATCAATTAACATTTTTCTCTTTACTGTATTATTTTAAACTATGAGATAAGAAGTTTAAACATGAATAGATAGGCTGAAATTAGCAGGATACACATACAGACATAATTTCTTTAACCGACCCATTTGTTTTCCTGCTTTTATGCCTCAGTTAGCAGAGTGATTAGCTTCTTCATACTGTACCATAACATTTTGCTTCAACTCTTGGGAGGCATCTTGCATGAGGGAAGTAAGATGATTCAGATATCGCTGATTTTCATCCAGCAGCTGTTCAACTGTTTCACTGAGAAAGACAAGAGGCTCTAAATTCAGAGTGCAACTTTTAAGTTCTCTTTTTTTTAAAAGCTAATTACTTACTGATTAAAATACTTTAGATACTTTGTTTTACAAAAACAGCTAGGTATAGCAATACTTGTTTTAAAAAATCTTTATCTTAATGTTAGATTTTTCTTTCCTCTCAGTGCATGAATACACACAATAGAAAACAAGCATTTTAAAGTTGATAATGCTGAAAAATATTATGTACTTTTAGGGATAACCAAAACATTTTAGCAGGGTGCTCAGTGTGAAGGGTTCTGTATAAGTTTTTTTTTAAATAACTGTTTGCTTTTAATGCAGATACTAAACATATATTTTACCTGTTGCCCAGCTGTTTTTGATTAAGTGACGACAACTGAGTGTTGCACTGAGCCTGCAGACAAAATCATGCACTTTGTAAGGTACACAGATAGGTGACAATTACATTTAATATTGCAGATTCCATTTTTTTTATTTTCTTACTGAGTAGGATTTATATTTAGAGTACTTTGTTGCATACATACGCAAGCAATCTTGAGAAGGAACCAGAACTCTTTCTGTCTCTTTATTTGCATGTGCATTACTTCAGACTCTGCAACTTTGATGTCCAACATTGCCTTTTCCAGTTTAGGGAACAAATCCACAATGCGCTGCTTACAAATCAGGATTGCACTACAGAAACAAAACAACAAACAAAACATATGCAATAAAAATGAAACTTCATTGCACTGAACTTTACTTGCTTTTAGAGCATCTAAATGAAACTTTTGGAAAAATTACCTTAGATGAGTGTAAAGGTCTTTTAACACTCTGTCTTGATTCTGAACTGTCTGGAGTATAGTCCTCACCATCTCTGAACTGTCACTGTAGCCATGTGGAGGGTCATTACCTGCAGAAATCGGTTTAGCAATCATGCATGGACAATATCACAACACAGCGTCCTAAATACCACATTTATATATCTATCGACATAGAAATGCTGAATACTTAATGGCAGGAGACCTTTGTTTTTAAAACCATTCTGCAAGTAAATCCAGAAGCATCTTAATATATTGCAATATCATTTAAACTTGATTTATTTTTTTGAGACAACTTCAAAATTTCAAACTATATTAAACTACAACTACTATTAAATTACAGTTACATTCTTTTAAGGGTTTTATTTCTGTTATGTCTGATGGTGAGCTCTTAATGAGCAGGCAAAATCCAGATAAGAGAAACCTTGATTCTTACATAAGACCAATCAAAAAAGAATCCTTGATGCAGAAATGTTTTGGCCTATACAGAAAATAGCTGTTCGTCAGAAATTCATGGACATCAACAAGTAAGTTTTACTGTCTCTTATCAAAACATATTAATGGAATGAAAACGATGTTAGAAAAAAATGCATTTTTCATTTTCATCAACTAAAAAATCTGCTTAAAGCAACTGTGTAACTTTCAGCCTACAAGGGAACTGTTATAAAGTATCTTAAGAATATAGGATTATACAACAAGATTTGAACATTTGTATTAGAAGAAGAAGTGGCCTAAAGGGGGCGCAAGACCGATAACCTCCAGACATAGCAAGCACTCTGAAACCAACTGGCAACACAGCACTGTCGCAAAATGAAAAGTTTCCCTCTGGGTTTCAGAATCTGATAGCAGACCACTTTGGACATGCGATACGCACCAAGGGTTGAATACTGACCTGAACAATCATTTATATATGAGCCATGATAAAGCATCATTCTTTTGAACTCTACCATCTTCAATTCGATAATATTTCTGAACTTCAAATTATATCCGATCATTTTTGTACTAACTTTTGCATTTGATTTTCAGTTGCTTGTAGAGTTCAACAGCCTTTTCTTCACTGGAAAAGAAACAAACAGTAAATAGGTGAGCAATGTATTTATGATTTTTTCCCAATGGTTGACATTAGTCTTGCATCTATCATCTTTACAGTTATTGCTTTGCCTTATTATCACTTATAAGAAAACGTTTGAACAAAAAAAAAATGGTTTAAAGGCAAAATTATGTGATAAAAACATGAAAAGTGAGAGTTAAAATCTATTAGACACAGAAACAAACAATTGAATAACGTGCATGGGCAGTTACAACACCAAAGTAGTTTCAAACCAAAATAAGAAGTTACTGACAACTTCTCCATCACGTCTCCTTGTCTCCTCGCAAATGGACTCCTCTGCAGCTCCACAATTTCAGAATGCAGCGCCAATATCTCCTCATCAAGACCGGAAACATTTGCAACCTGCAGCACAGAATTCATTGTCTTTTAAGTACCATATTATAATGTGCCACCATGAGGTTTACCGAATTTATACCTGTGTAAAGCCCTCAGCCTTCCATTCGTTTTCCTGCCACGCCCGCTTCAGCTTCTCTGAGGCTAAAAACACAGCAGCAGGCTGAGATGGGTTTTCACCACACCAACAATGACAACCACAGGGAAAAACAGAATGAGAACTCACAGACACCGCTTTCGCTCTGCTTGGTATATTGCTCCAGATCCTGTTGGATGCTGGTTTTAAAGATAGATAGCTTAGCGTGAAGCTGCTGCGAATGGGAGAAGAGGCGGTGCTTAAACTGCGTTAAGGTGGTGTTGTAACGCAGCAGGCTCAGCCTACAGGGACAAAAATACAAAGTAAGGAATGTTGCATGAGTTAATACATTTCACTAACTTGTAGATTTTTAGCTACTTACATCGCAGCTCTCTGTCCCTGGTACAACCGGAGGTAGTCCTCCTTCAGTCCACATATGTAGCTGAGGGCTTCCCCCCAAACCTTTCTAAGAGCAGAAAGGGGCAGCTGTGTCTTTGTTTCCCTGACTGAACAAAAAAAAAAAAAAAAAAATTAATTTGCTGTTTCAAATTTTTCCACCAAAGATTTTCTAGATGCACTTTACAGCCACAAATTTTTAGCACATATTTAGAACTAAGCCGGTGAAGATTCTCAGTCATTGAGGTCACTGTCATTACAAAAAAAAAAAAAAAAAAAAAGAGGCATGGAAATAAATGACACCTAATTATTTAGGAAATCGCATTCAAAAAAATAATTTTCTCACAGCCTTCAGGTCAGTAAGGATTTCCTAATTTTCAACTGTAGGATCCGCTGGATAAGAGGTCATGTTGAACAGGCAGTGAGGAAAGAGCCTGTCTGTTAACAATGGTGAATAAAGTCCAGGCATAATTTCTTTATGATGTTTTAAACTGTATATTATAGTGGGTGTGATGAGTGTCTTCTTAATGTCTCAAAGTCTTTTTTTGGAGCGGATAAAAGACAGATATGGGCCAAAGGTGAATGCTGTAATTACACACACAGCAAAGGCAGCAGTAAAAATATCTGCTAATAGAAACAAAGAGGGGATGAATGAACCCATATATTTATGGGTTATTTCACTTCCATTTAATGTTCTTATATTTCAGCCAAATCACATACATCAGTGTGCAATAAAGGTGTGCTGAGCAGTTTTACTGCTGCTGAGTTTTCAAAGTTTACATTTTTCATTGTCAGCTCATGATGAATTTTGGGAAGTCCCATTTTACATAATATCTCCTTTACATATCTCATCGCATGTCTGTGCAGGTGCATAAACTGATCAAGATTTCTATTAACAAATGTTTCCAACACTGAAACGCAGCTCAGATGAAGTGCAGTTTATTTAGAATAAAGAAGCAAAGTGGACATAATAATCCAGGTCAGATTTTTAGCTCCATAGGGGAGCTATTTTGGTGGGGCTTGAGTATTTTCAGATAATTCCCAAACCGTGCTGTCACCTTCAAACTGTATATCATTTTGCATATTTTAGATCATTTTACAACTCAGAGAAGTGTCTTACCAATAAAGTTAACACTGTCTGGTAGTGGTCTGGCCGTCAGCGGTCCCGAGTACTTGGTAAGGCTCCTATCAAACAGTAACACTATGGAAGTGTCCCAGCCACGCTAAAAGAGTTTTACAAAAAAAAAAGATAAAGACAATGAGAAACACAGAAGTCTCTTTGATAGTCTGCTTTTAGTAAAAATAAAAATAAACCAAAACAAAGGTGGCTGTTGACTTTAGCCGCATAAGAAATTCAGTGAGACGTTCGAGTATCTCTACTCAGTTTTGTATTTCACACTCAGGTGCATACTTAAAGAAAAAATTCTCCATGTGTTCAGAAAAAAAAAATCAGCATCCCTTCAGTATATTTGTGTATAGAAAAGACAATAAATGTATCATTACATCCCTAGTTTTCATGCCTACATCTCATTCAATGCTTTTCAAACTAATCACATGCTTTGGTTTTTTTATCAAAAAAAATTCTACGAAACAACGAATAATGGGGAGTAATTTTAAATCAATAAAAAAAAGAGAGAATCTTAATATTCCAAATCTGCAGCTAAAGAAAATGGGTTATTTGCTCATGCAGTATATTTAATATTACGCTGACCTATTTGTGAAACATACCAAGCCATCTGGTAGACTCTGCACAGGTGCACAGCGTGGGTCAAGAGAGGTTCCCGTCTCTAGCAGCAGCTCTTGACTCTCGGGAGAGATGTGTGCCTGGGTTTGAGCCTCCAGACGACGTTGCAGGGAGAGAAAACTCTCCTCTGCGCCTAAAACCATTGAGTGCAGCTGGGCTGATGTCATGTCCAAGATGTGCATAATCTGATTCAAGACAAACATGATGACAAGGATTAGAGGTTAGCGTTGCTTTAGCGCAGACAAAACTATTTGACACAAAGGCAGAATGAATGTTTTTAACCTTCATGTTGAGGATGTTGTCCAGGAGGGCAAAGCAGCGTGGCTTGTTTGATTTAGGATCAGGTCCTCCGCCACGGAGAGCAGGATCCCACAGTAAGAGCATCTGAAGGAGACACTCGATTGGCTCCAGCAGGGGCCTGGAAATCCAGACAGCCACACACACAATAGGTGTGACACTAGTTTCGAGCAATGAGGTATTCATCTTTAGTAGGTTCAAAAAAGGTGTACTTCTCTTCTTACTTGCTGAGATTGTTGGGATACGATAGATGTGATGAGAACCGAATTTCTCCATTCATGTCCTCCACCGCCATGATATCTTTAGGACCTTTGTTCTTTACTTTGTTTATCCTAAAATACAAAGCAAAACATATTATGCTGTATATCTGAAAAAATAAGAGGCATACTTGCTCACAACGTTTAAATGAGGCTTCTTTATGGTGGCAGTTCTTTTTGGTGAAATTCTTAATCAGTAAATCATTTTACAAAAATCTTTACTTGAAAAATCAAAGTAGCTCACAAACTCACACTGTTCCCCATTGCTAAACCTTTAGATAGCTGATTTGACAAATTGAAAGCTGCATTCTTGCCTTTAAAAAGTTGGCACCAAAACCAGAGATGGACAACAACAGGCCGAGTCTAATATTTTGATTCAATGCTTACTTTGGGTTATCTTTTATGAAGGTAACTTTGAATCAAAACTATTTGTGTATTTCAACTGTGAATTTGAAGCTGCAGAAGAAAATAAAATAAGAGGTATTGAAATTTTGTTTTTGTTTTTTTCTTTTCACACCTCTTCTAATTGTTGAGTACAAGCACAAAAACAGTTCTGGGAGTCACAAATCAGACATCTCATACATTCTTAGTTTTGCTATTGATCCAAAACTATTGTTGCTAAATTATTTGTTCATTACAACTTTTGAATTTTGTAATTGTATATTATTTTCTATTGCATAATTACAAAAAAAAGGAGCCTAAACACCTGGGTCAGGTTACACAGCTTTAAAATATAATCTCTGATTTTTCTTCTACCAAATCCAATTCATCGATTTTCTTTTACTTAAAGCTGAAGTCTGTAAGTTTTTAGAAATCACTTTTTTGTCATATTGGCTAAAACTGTCCCTATGCCCAGACAGCAGTACATGTGATATGTAACCTGTGAAAAAAACTGCTTCAATTGGTACCGCCTACTCCCTGTATTTCAATCTGGAAAGAATAATTCGGG